GTGACGCCGGGCCCGGCTGTGATTAGAACTGTTTGCAAGCACAGTAGGTAGATCGTTATCATGGATATCATATTTGTTCTCCTACGATTTCCTTCGGAGACGCCGTAGCTTTACTTTCCAGATTTCCGCTGTTATCTGCATGTGGCTTGGTCGAGTTTGACACCTCTGTAATTTGCCATGTGTTTATGCATTTTTTAGGCTCATTTCTTTTGCAAGATAGTTTTTAAGTCTCCAAGTATTTGCTCTGGAGGGACAAAATAGAGATTTACCGTGAAAATACTGCTTACTTGCATTCTATATTGTGACGCCTGGCCCGGCTGTGATTAGAACTGTTTGCACGGTGCAGTAGGTCAGGGTGAGTAGGTAATTTCTTATCAAGAATGTTTGTCCTCGTGCTTTTTATTTTCGGAGACGCCGTAGCTTTATTTAGAGAAAGCTATCACGTTTCTCTAGGGACATTCTTGTGTTTCTTGCAGCTATCTGATCGAGATTATGTTTCGATGTATAGGTTTATTCCTCCTTTTGGTCGTTCTGGTACCACACGATTCAAATGTAGTTGTTTACACGCAAGTTTGTTGACTGTATTGCGTGTTGTATATGCCATTGTTCGGCTAAGTTCAGGCAAAAATCCTGGCAGAATTTGGTTTTCCTGCGGACGATGGAAATTTCGACATTCGCTTCCAGCGTTGTCGAGTTTCGCAGTCATCGAAAGTTACTTCAATATCAGTTACGACGGGGTTTAAATTCGCCTTTAAGAAACGGACTTGCTCAACGGCGTTCCGAATTTTTAACGCACAGCTCGCAGACTCTGAAGCAATCATTTGGATTGTTGGAAATTCATGAGGTCGACTTGTGGCAAGTCTAGCCGTTTCTCAACACCTTTCTTCCCGGGAAGTTTAAATAAGTTCTCCGTGGATATGTGTTAAATTTTGTCGCCTTTTTGTACTTTACACCCACAAAGTCGACAGCAATCCCCAGAGCACGACGCGTTTTTCGGTTTAAGTACGGAAGCAAGCTTGTCAGGTGTTTCTCTTGAAGACGACATCGAAGAATGACCTTAGCTTTGCTTGCGAAATTCGCCCGACAAAAGAATTTGGTATTTCGTAAACATAACATAAGAGTTTGAGCAATCGGTTCATGTTACTGCTGTACTCAAACTAGTTTGCGTTTTCACTAGGCCGATTAACTAGCTGAACATTCTTTCTAGGTGTTTGTTTACAGACCATCATTTGCTAGTTAAACGTGTCATCTGTTTTCACTGGAAATTAAAACGAAGAATTTAACCCGCTGACTCAGAAGATTCAAATTACAAAACCGCGCAACTTTCAAAGATAGCTGAGAGAGGAAGCGCTTTTAATCACTTCTCTTGTATTGATTTAGGAGATCGAGAAGGCATTTTTTTTCCAGAGGATACGGGTAATGTCCCCAGAAATGAGGAAGATGCGACGAAATGCTGTAATGTAGGAACTTGTTCTTCACGTCGAGCGACGCCGTGTCCTGGCCAGGGAACTGGAGAATCTAGCGGGACCGTAGGAATGGTAAACCGAAATAATTGAGAAGGACTATTGAACACGTCTGCCGCTTAAAGTTCTGTTTCGCAAATGAACCGCGATACGAGCGTCTGGTAAATACTATTGCTAAATTCTTTGCAGGCGTCTGTCACTACGCACAATGTGATTGGCTGCGGCATTTACCGGGACAAGTTATACCATCTCGCGATGTAATATAACTTGGCGTGAATTTCCGGTCATATTGGCGAGATAATCGCTTCTTTTTTCTGGTGAAAACAGCGTGCATTTTTAACTCGCTAAACTCACGACGAACTGTTTTCACTGAATTTCCGGACTTTTCCGACTTTATCTAGCCAAAATTGTCCTAGTGAAAACACATTTAATTAGTTAATTGGTAAATGAGATTATTTTTGAGATTATTTGTGAGTGTCCTCAAAAACATGAGAAGGGTCTGTGGTCTGCTTTTCTTCTCGTGCGTGCCGCGCTCATGTCTCGTCCCGTTTCCTTTTAGCCAGAACATCTCCCCTCTTAATCCCTACTGAATTTCGAGAGAAAAACAGACTGCCAGCAATCCAACGAAACTCAGGTGGGTTCTCCATCCTGGGCGCAGTTTGTATAGTAAAGCTAAGGCCGTGAAAACTTCTTTTCATATAGCTTCGCTGACGTTTTCGGCGTCTCTTCATCTAACTGTTGTTGTAATTGTTCTTGTAACACTCTTTTTCCCCGGTTTGTCAAACTTCTGTCTTGAAACGTGTCGAAACTGAAATCTCCTTTTATGACTTCGTGGGCTCGCTGAAATTGATGCAGAAGATGTGCTTCGTACAGAACTGGATCACTGGTGTAAACATTCACCGACCAGTGCACAAATTTTACTCTTGGCGACAATACTCCGAAGCTGACTGATCTTGGAAAATCATTATCGCTGCATTTCTCGACGGCGAAATACAAATCGATCTCTTGCTGCAGGTAATCGATATTTGATCTTAGAGGCTCTATAGGGAAATGCTCGATTACTAGTAAATTGTTTGGAAACAATTTATGTGCTACAGGGCGAGAAAAGATAACATCGCAAAGGTACTCTTTAGTACAAGCCTCAATCTGGATGGTTGTGGAAAAGGGATGTAAGTGCAAAGCGTTCTTGTTACAATACGAGCTCAAAATATCCAACTGAAGAAGTTTTGTTTGCGAGGAATAGCTTTTCCCAGTTGTGAATCGTTCTCGATAAACGCTCGGATAGCGTCTTTGTATGAACTCATTCATTGCTTTTGATAGCTGGGTATAAACACCCTGTCCGCGAAATTCCGCGAAAGTACGGCCTGCTCGACGAATCGCTGTTCTTCCTTCATCGACGACGGAACACGCAACCAAACCTGCAAGCTTCTCACCAATATAAGCGAGCATAACGTCCAACTTGTCCATATTCATCCATGCTTGGTATCTTAATGGCAGATAGTCGTGTCCATCATAGATTCCCTCTGACAATTTCAGAATTTCGCCGAAGTCACTCGACCTGGCGATACGAAAAGTCAGTTCTTGATTCATCGTCGACTCCCATCCGAACTCATCAAATACTCATCGACACAGTACACTATACACTTACAAGGAACATGAAAGCGAAACTACAAAGCCTGGTTTTCGCCAGCGCCTGAGAATAGAGTGTGTTCACGTGACGTCATCAAATTCTCAAATCCAAAACTTAAGGTTTTATCCTCATCAGGCATAAGAGGTACTAAATTTATTTCCGTTTACAACTTTCCAGCTCAGTAGGATCCTTCGTTTGAAACCAGCACATTTTGAATTTCGGGGTTATGGCAGTGCGTGACATGAAGCTAAGATCGCGTTTGTCGAATAATATACACTTATCTCGTGATCTTTAGCCCTTTTAGGAGTTAAAGTATTTGGAAAAGTGCTTGTGTAAATGTTTCTTGGTTCGGTGCAGATAATCAGTTGTCTAGATACCCAACGTAAGTTCCAGATGTTTACACTATTTTCCGGCCGCCACATGGCGTATGGCGGCTCCATACTAGGCTCTATAAGACATTTCGACGAATTTCTTAGGCTCGATTGCCAGCCGCTGTTCGGGAAAGGAGCCCGCGCTCCTCCCCCGAACTCTTCTCGGGGAGGAACGTAGACCGGACTCGAGAAAGCGGCGAAATCGAGCTTACGAATTTCTCAACTTTGGGACAACGCACACACCTTATTTATCGTCTATAATGTCACAATTTCTTGACTTTATCAACTGAATGGTTTTTGATTTTATTTTTTATTGCGTGACAACGCACACACTCTATAAGCTACATATACACAAGTAGCAACATGCTTTTAACCGGTTAGTTGTTGTAATGCCCGGTTGTAATGCTAACCTTTTAGCGCCGCGAAAGTTATTTGTATATTTTGTTGACGTATGGTTGCAAATTTGTTTCATTTCTTTCATTATTATAAGCATCAACTGAAAAAGAGTGGTTATATTGATTCGTCAAAAAGAAGTGCGGAAAAAATGTTGGAAACCGTTGTGAGCTACGCTACAGGCCATTAGACTGCTGGTAGTCTGTTTGTCTCTCGAAATTCAGTAGGGGTTATGAGGGGAGATGTTCTGGCTAAAGGGAAATGGGACGAGACATGGGCGCGATACGCAAGAGAAGAAAAACAAAAAAACTACTTGATTTTAATTAGTTAATTGGTTAATTCGATTATATTTGACAAATGTGAGTGTCCTCAAAAACATGAGAAGAGAAGATTCTGCAGACGTTTTTTCTCGTCTCGCCTTCTTCCCTGCTCGGCCATACCACCCTTGTCCCGCCTTCTTCCCTACTCGGCCACCGCCATACCTTCCCTTCGCGTTCGCGATGACTAAAGACTCGTCTAAATGACCCTTAGAGAAAAAAACCGGCTGCCAGCAGACTACAGGCCATTAAATTTCCCACGAAATTAAAAAATGGTAAATATGGTGGCGGGAACCAGAGCGATCAAAGTGACATTTCAAGATTTAAAATATATTCCCAGAAGATTTTCCCAGAGAGGTTATAGAAAATGAAAGTGAGATTAGGAAGCAGTCGGTACAGAAACTGAAACTTAAGTTGAAATTTTAACTCAACAACAATAAGCAAAATAAACATAAGGGCTGATGACCCGTTCTTTATGTATGGTCATGTACGCCTGAACCGGCGTAAAAAATGCATTTAGTTTATCTTAATTCTGGACAGCTTTCGTGAGTGGAAACTTCTCCTACAGCTAGCCATAATGTGGCTCTGAAATAATTGTTCCAGATTTTAAACTTCAGTATACATTGAACATCATTGTATTCGTCTCGTAATAAGTAAAATAGTGGACTTAAACACAGACCCTATAAAACTAAAATCGGCGAAGTTGCCCAATGAAATCATGAAAAGGGACACAAAGAAAAATTGAACTTAGTTGATTTCAATGGCATTTCACGACCCTTCGCTGATTCGTGTCATTATAAATAAGCTGAAAATTCTCTCTGCAAAGATTTCTGATTTAAAACTGAAACGTGCAGTGAACTACGTAACTATTATTTGGACATATCTTTATTCTGTCAGCGGTTTGGTAAAGTTCATCCACATCTCCTTCCCGTCTTTGCCCCTGGGATTTACGAATTCCAGAAGATCCTTGAAATGAAGACATGATCGTAAGAATATTTACTCGTCATATCAAACACTAAGAGATGCATTGTAATCTCAGTAAAACGATTCAGAAACCTCAGAATAGACTCTATTTGTGCTCAACTGCATAGTCATTCAACTAGGTTTTTAGTTCTACTGCACACGCAGACACCAGCTAGATTATCTCGAAAGGAGTATAATGAACTATGTCTGTAACCATAGCTCAAGCATCGATCCCCCATCTGTATGAACTGAATTGGCGTGGAAAGATTTTGACTCTGATACAAACCCTCCTGAATTGCGCTGCCCTTAAATCATTATGAGGGTCCTAAAGGGGTGAAATGGAAACCGGGATTGGCCTGTTTTTGCCCCGGGAAAATGGGATTTAGGTCACTTGGGACTGGGATTTGATCACTGGGAATGGGAAAAATGCCAAAAATGGAAATGGAATAAACATTTCGTAACCATCCAGTCGAGACATCACTTATTTCAGGGGATCGAGAAACGTCAAAAAAATGTTTCAAGCACCTTGTTTGTGTCAACTTTGAGCATGTTTATCTAGATCCAGCATGTGCGGGACTTGTCACTATTTCCTGGTTAGAAAATGAGATCTAATGTGGAGGCACTCGATCTTAATCTTTCATGTTGAAAATCATCATGCCATAACACATTTTTAGAGAGACACTTTTACATTGTGTGAAATGCAATTTATACTCTAATCACCCTGAAACGATTATAAAATATTTTGTAACTAATCTTAATAAACACAAACACAGCATCAGGGGCGGGCATCTCGGTTATTGATGGCCGCTTCAATGCCCGCTTATTGATGCCTGCCTCGTTGAGTGGAGCATGTTTAACCTGTTATTCAGATCCAGCATGTGCAGCACTTGTCGCTACTTCCTGGTTA